TGGATGGCTTTAGAGACTGATCGACTATTACACAAGATCCCTTTCCTTCATAAAACCGTTAAGGTTATTCCCATCGGAGGTGTTTTGGTGTGCAGGCTGGTTGCAGCCATACTGTGATTTACAAGTTACATCTGACAGAGAAGAAAATTAAAATTGATGTTTTTGCAGCCCATTTTCTAGATGTCAAGGAAAGTTAACCAAACTTCAGAGGCAGTTTTGTACTTGATTAATGAAGGGCCTTTCATATCCATCCCTTTGGCTGCATTTTGCCAATATTCTGGAACACACACTACCATACACAATGTACAGGTCACCATTCTTAACCGGATCCATCATTACATTGGGATTGCTACCATGCTCCCTGATACTTGAAAGTTCCCGAATAATCATCAACATTACATGCAAACTTACTCACTATATGAATATTTTTGATGAAAATTATAACAAATTATAGTAAATAATAGGTGAGGTGTGATATTACACTGACTGGTTACTTTATTAAGGAATTCACAGCCACTTTTATACATTATACTTTACATTTCCAAATACATAATAAACTGATCATGTGATGTGTGATTGTTTGAGCCCTACAACTGCAAAGATATAGCCATATCATAGTTAGTCTATAAGGCAATGGGTAAGAGTAAGGATATCTTCACCTTTGAAATGGGCACTGATAATGAATGCTTGTTTAGGGTTACTACTCACCATTCTAGAGATGAGGACGTAGTCGGCATGCAGTTGTTGTACAATCTGCTTTGACAACTGAAGGGTTGAGTGGAAAACACTGAGAGAAACCATATATCAACATTAAATGGGATACCAATAAATACTTTCCATTTCATTTTACTCCCATACGTCACGTGTGGCAACCTTGAATGACAATGAGAAACATTTGTCCCAGTCGCAGTCTGAGGGAGTGGGAACACTGGAAAAAAAATCCGTCCTGGATGCAGTGAAAGGGTTAATAAAGTGGCTTCAATGCACATCACAGTGATGCTTATAATTGTGGTAATCACTTCATTCTTTACTAGCTTATCATGGGTTTCCAGTAATAACAGTAAATACAAGGTGAGTTCAGAAAGAAGCAAGATTTTCTTTACAATAAGCTGGGCATGATTAACTGTAGCTGGTGGATAATAATATGCTGTAATCAAAATCTTTGTTTGCAAAAGGAGAGTCAAAAAGGTTGTGCAAGTCCACCAGTTTAAAGTATGTGGATAACTATTTTGTTGCCCCTCTCAAAGATGGACAATAGTTCCAGATAACCAATACTATTGAAGCAACTAAAAATAATTAAGACTTGTAACATTATATCTTCATTTTTTCAAACTGGTATGAAGAAGCTTACCAAGTTATGGAAAAATGCAAAATGTTTAATACAGATAATGGTGGGAAGTGTTTCTAGTTGCTCATACTCTCAACGTGATTGGAATTTATTTTTTTTGTAATGTGATGTGGTTGACCAACAAAAAATAAAATCAAATTTTTTAAAGAAATATTTCATATTAAAGAGTACATTGTATCGAGCATTAGGGAAGCTATTTACTCTATAGTTGTGACAGAGCTTCAACCACCCATACTAAATGTAAACTTTTCTCTTTAATTAAGAATTTATTGGTGTGTCACTCATTTTTGGAAAAAAGTATTGTCATAATTTATGGTTAACTTTATGTGAGTATCTTCAGCAACATAACTGAAGAATCAAGTAAAATTAACTCAATGTAGTTTCTTCGTGTTGTTTAGAATGTTATGAAGTAAAACTCAAATTATCAGTTTTTTAATTTGTTCAGTTATTTGGAGTCAATAAGTTTAATTGATACATTTATTTATGATTTTTTATTTGAATTTTCTTGGGATTTTTAGATACTAATTTAGTTCATCCAATGGTAGCATGTAGTTAATTATCTCAATCAATGTGATCTTGGTAGGAAAAAGTAGCTGCAGTACAAGTTGCTGAAGAACTGATATGTTTGTCTTGTACTCTACCATATAACAGATTATACAGGGCTATCTCTACCACCACATCTGATCACTTCAGCTTTCGACAGTCTACGTTTCAATGAATTTCATATTTGAAGATGAGAAATGCCCATGATTATCTAGTAAATTACAAAACAGAACAGATATATCACAGTATTTTAGGATCACTTGAAAAAGGAAAACTGAAAATTACAAATACACACATAACTTAGTACTTTGAGTAATTCTGCATTTATTAAAGCTTTAGGTTACAGTTTCAGTCACTTTGGCTGTGGAAAAGATAATAAGTACTTAATAAGTATTACATCAAAGTTAATTTCTAGAGAAAAAACTAGATTTTTTTATGAAATGAGCAGCTAACTGTTCTTGAATTATTGGTTATAAAATGTAATATGCTCAATGGAATAAATTCATATTAAATGCAAAACAAATTTTTAAGTACTTTTGAAATGATTTCTTTTGATTTTATGATTACAGAAGTACAGTTGTAATACATTTTACAAAATTGAATTGTTATTTAAGCAAAAACTCAATGTATACAAAAATATGCTAAAGCTATTTCTAAGCATTACTGAAAGTAATAGATACTGAACTAAAACTTCTGGCTTATTATAAAAATGTAATGATTAAACTAAGACATAGCTAGAGAGAGACAAAATAGTTTGGTTAAGAAAATTTCAAAACAAAATTATCAACCAAACATTTGCTTTTGACATGCTTTCATATTGTAAGATATATGCAACATAGACCACAACATTCTTATACTAAATTATGGTGAAATCCTTTCTGAGGAAAAACTAGTTTACAGATACACATAATTCAACATAGTTTAGAGATAGTTATTCAAGTCAACAACCACATTTATTGTTAAAAAAGTGTTATTTCATTGTAGCATTGAAGATATATTGTGGAGTAATTACTATAAATTGTTGTGAAATTCTGATGCTTTATATAAGATGACAGTTAATTGTCCTATTAATTAACTATGAAAATGTTTTAATTGTTCATCTGAACAAGTTCTCATCACAAGTATTTTCCAATGAAACTACTACGCATATCTGAATAAGCTACAAAAACACCTATTAAAAAGATATGACTTAACCATACACTGATTCTGCAAAATCTGATATGTAACATTAGTTATTAGCAATAAAAAAAAAGAAGAAGAAGAAGCCTTACAAAAACAATTTTTCCAATACCTGGCTCCAGTAGGTTTATATTACTGTCCTTTCCTTTCTATTTGCAAAGACAGTAACATATGCAAAAACCATTTAATGTAATCACAAAATAAAAGTCCATACATATGAGAGAACATAATATATTATAATGTGAATATTAATGCTTATTATAATAAAAGCAACAGCATGAAAGCTGCAAGTATTTATCTAATAACACATGTGCCACCTTATCACTTTTTTGAGCATTAGCTTTAAGAAATAACTTTTCAAGACACTTTCAATTAACCATCATTCACTTACAATAACATTTTCCATGAAGCTAGAAAATGAGAACAGAAACAGTTCAAAACAAAAAATTAATTTTTTGTTCATCCTGTACTGCTGTGCAAAGTACTACTCCAACATAACACCTTTCACAAAATCTTAAAGCAATACATGTATAAAGTGTGTACAGCAACAAATATCTAAACTTGTATGGTATTAAAATAATTTGTAGATATGTTCAAAGTCACTTTATTAAAATTTTCTCTCTTTACATATTAATACATTTTTGTAGTAGTCTTTGCTTAGTATAGTGATCAGAACATAATGTTTTAAAAACCTAAAAAAAAAAAAGAGTAATGAAATACTTATATCAATTTGGAAAGCTTTTACTAGAATGAAAACAAAGAAAGAAAAATTGACAAAACTAATCTAACATGGGAAATATGTTTAAAAAAAAAGGACTATAATACTATATCATATAGACTTTGGTATGAAAAACTTTTTATATAATTATTAATAAAAAAAAATATGATTCTAAAAAAAATATTTCAAAATTACAAAATATTTGTTTGCTAGACAAAAACAATGTTACATGGTTCATCAAAAGAACCAAGGAACTGTAGCATTCTATACTTTGTACTTTAACTAGTGCTTTATAAAAAAAAGGATAAAAATTCAAGTAAATAAACTAAACTGCAATTTTTTTCCAAAATACTGAGAATGAAATAAATTATTCTAATTATTTAAGTGGTTATTACTTGTATATTTCAATATTGGTAAATCTGAAAAAATAACAACAAACTAAAAAAATAATATGAATGTTATCCTTAAGTTATGTTTTTGTAATGTGGGTAACATTAAATTACAATGGAAATTCTTAAAAACGGGTCATCGCCACATTCATATATTTAATCCAAAAAATTTTAATGTAATTGTTCTTCAGATATATTACACAACACATTAACAATTTCACCTGTTTCTGTTGCTTATTACTGAATTATATATTATATGTTAATTCTGTAATGAAGTATTTAATATGAAATAACACTAAAAACTTTCTAAAGTATTTGTAAAATAAATATAATCTGACTGATTTAATTACATGCTATCTCACTTACAAATAGCTGTCTAATACAAAAAAAAAGACAGAAAACACTTGAAGTGTAATATGACTGTAAAATCAGATATAAAAAAGACACAAGCAAAACATCTTAATATAGCAGAAATAACATCAACTTTAACAATATATAAGAAATACTTCAACATGGCAATAAACATTTAATTTTTAAATTTAAACAAAAGCATTGGCTTGCTAGCAAAATATACCACAATAATTGTTATCACAGCATTCTAAGTCTCACACATATTCCTTTACCTAGTAATAGAAAAAGCACATATTTACTTCCCTTTAATAACATACATAAATATGTGTAGTGTTGACTCGTACACAAATTTTAAACAAACTAGATGCACACATGAATAATGAATATGCAAGGTATATGTATTACAAGTATATCATAGCACCACATTTCAAGTTCTTATATTTATACTTTTTTAAAGTTTTTCATTGTTATGAATCTTTCTGCTCTTAAATACAAGTAGAAACAGAACTTGAACAATAGTTTCCATACAAAACTCTTTTAATGGTAAATTAGTTCAGATTCTTCCTAACCTGCCCAAACCTGTTTCACACGCCCACACCTTAAAGCATAATATGTTTTTTAAAGCATTCTTTTATTATTTTAATTAATAGACTAAAAAAAATCTTAAAGATAACATTTGTCACATATTTTATGGAAATTACAGTACTATTGATCTAATCTAAATAATTAAGCATAACAAGATATATGTAGCAAAATGGGTGATATCAATACCTCAACATACAAGATAAATGACCATTTAAATTCTTGTCGAATCTTATAATACAGATGTCTCAGGTTGATTTGCATCGTGTTCACCATGCTGCTTTTCTTTTGTTTTTTTGTCTGGAGGAGAAAGCTTCTCTTCAGATGTCTGCACAACTTCTGTCTTTGATGACTCTTTTATTTCTTCCACTTTATCTGCTAATCCTATTAATTCTTGTACTTCATGCTGAGTGGTTTCTTTAGGTAACAACTCTTTACTTGATGGTGTTTCATCTGCCTTCACTTCATCCATATTACCTTTTCTCTGTCTTACAATATCTTTTTCTGGCTGTTGATTATCTTCAAGTAATACATTTTCTTCCTTGTTTTCAGCACTATCCCCTTCTCCTAATAAGGAATGTTTCTTCCCTGCTTCATCAGTTTTTAATTTTGTAGCCCAAACACGGTCATCAGTTGATTTCTTAGAAGCATCTAAACACATTTGCTTTTGTGGAGTGGCCAGGTCATTCGATATTGTGCTTGGTAGGGAATCAATGATTACAAAACTTTCTAAATCAGGACTAGAACCTTCACTTTTTCTAGTTGACCCTTGAGGTTCCTTTGTTATTTCCTAATATGTTTTTTTTGGAATCAGTTATATTGAAGTAAATAGAAATAAAGAACTAAAATAGCACCTACTACTATGAAAAGCAGTTTTGGAACAATTTACTTCTTCATTTAATTTTAACTTTCAAAATACATTCAATACATAGAAAAATAATTTCATTAAAAGTTAAGAACTCTGGAGTGCATCTGCACCACAACTTACTATAAACGTTATATTTATCAAAAAATTAAAATTTTTAAATTTGTTCTCTGAGGCAAAATTGCTTTATGAGAGTTAGAGTTTAAAAGAAATGTAGGATATGCAACAGCAAAAACTGAGTATCAGATAAAGTTTAAATGTTATGGAGCCTTACTACATCTGAACATTCTCACTGAGATCTTAAAAACTTTGTGGTACATGTACATGATTGAGAATGAGTATAGTTTTTCTTCAATTTGAAATGATAGCTAGATAACCTCACAAATAAATTCTCCAAACAAGATAATCTCACAAATAAATTATAAAAGCAAATGTTATTATACTGGTAAGATTGTAATTTGAAATTATTATCAAAAATTAATAAACCTTAAGTATAACTAATCAGACAAAACTTATCATTTACATAAAAAAATGTCCAGAGGAAACTAAACTAATTCTGATAAACATACCTATTTTCATTTTCAAGTTTAAAAAAAGTGACTAAGAACAGACAAAAAAGCTTTAAAGAATTTCTCACCTTACACTAAAGTCCCTATGAAAATAACATTGAGTTTCATAGGAAAAATGCCGTGAAACATTTTCTACTCTGACTACATTACTACAAGCAACAGTGAAAGGTGTCATGACTTACAAGACTGAAGTGTCTGGCCTCTGTATATGTTGTAGTGGGAAATCTTGCACCCTATCACATTATTTGTTGGCAGTTAATTCAAACTCATAAAACAAATGTTTGATGGAAGAAGGGACCATGGTTTAAAACAACTATTGTATCAAAGAAAAGTCCAAAATAAACAAACACCTACTTCATGTGATAGTATAATAAAAATAAAAACTAGTTGAAACTATCACATAACTACACTGAGAGCAGGAACTGTCACATAACTACAATAAGAACTGTAAATATCACACAGCTACGAAATTGATATTCTGAAAATTATTATCACCACTAAGCTATACTTAAAGCTGTAAATTATAAATCATCATGCATTTATACAAAAAACTAAAAATGTCACAGTGATATTCTATATGATAAAACTATCATACTGACCTATATTACTCGGACCTCGTATAGAAATAGTAATATTTGAAGTCATCAGTAAGAGATACAACACATTCAGTGAACTGTTACATTGACAGATAAAACACACTTAGAGAACAGTTCCAGTAAGAAATAGAATGTGTCCACAGAACTCTTACAGTGAGAGATACACATAAATTAAGACACAAATGCTGGGACCTGACACATTGAACTATACAGAAACAAGAATGTAATTATTAATAAGAACTTCAGAGTGAAAGTAAAGCAAAGTGTATAATAATATGCCAGCTATATCCAGTGCTGAAGTGGTCTTTCATCCATTACACAGTTTTTCAGACATAGTAGTGGTTGAGATGTTATTTATATTATCAAACTGCTTGATAGAAACTGTTAAAGTGTAAAATGGACTAAACTGCTTAAGTGTAATTTTTATCAATTTCATTTATGTCACAACACATAAGAATTAAGGTAAGGAGTTTTGAATATTATATTATTTATTTTAACACCTTATATATTATTCATTATTACTTTCTTGAATTAACCTGCTCATTATTCAGAAGAACTGGATAAACAGTAAGCTAGTCTTAAAATTGAGATGCAAGTACTTGGTACTTGTATATGGCCCAAAATATGAATAAAACTTACCTGTGTGACCTTAGACTCTACAACGTCTTTACCAGCTGTCTCACTGCTTTTCTTCTCCCCACCTTCTGGATAGGACAACCTTGCATCTAGCTCTGTTGACGATGTATCTTTAGACAGAGTTACTGTTTCATTTCCTGCTGTTAGGGTTTCTTCAGTCTGAGATTTGATAGATATTTCATCAAGAGAGAAATTTTTTTCAGTATCACAACTTGGATCTATTTTCACCTGGTCAGAAACATTCCCATTTGAAGCTGGTGTTTGGCCACCTTTATCAACAGGCTTTCCAGAAACTGGAATTTCTTTAGTGTCTACAGTAGTTATTTTTTTAATATCTTCACTAGTTGTTGTTTTCGTAATTGGTGCTTCGGTAGTTTGCACACTGCCAGATATATCATTACATGGAATTTTCTTGTCAGTTTGTACTAGTGTAAGTTTCTCAGGAACTGTAATTCCAGTTGGTTCTTTAGGAGTTTGTGCCAGATCAAATTGATCAGATGTTATCTGACTATGTTCAGTAGATAGATCAGATTTCCTCACTGGTATCTGACTAACTTCAACTGAAGTTATTCCAGGGTCTGGAAGTTCTGAAATTCTCCCAGGTGGCATTATCTGGCTAGATTCTTCATCAGAATGAACCTCTTTGTAAGTAAGTATTTTGTTAACTTCACCAAAGGCTTTCTCAGAGAGATGAATTTCAACATCATTTTTATCAGCTATTAGATTAGATTCCATAGAAGAGCATAGTTCCCCTTTTAATTCTTTTTCAACTACATCAGGATACTTCCCTGTAACAGAAGACTCTGTGAGTGTTTCAGCAATTGGTACTTTATCACATGCTTGAGTGGATATAATGTTTTCTTCAACTTGAACTCTCAAAGTTCCATCACGAATTTCAATAGTATCTGAAGCTTTTTTTGGTTCTTCAGTTGTTGATAATTTACCAGGTTCTTCAGAAAAAGGCTTGCTGTTAACCTCAAGCATCTCTTCAGAAGATGGCACCTTGGTCAATACCTCAGTAGTTGATACTATGCCAGATTCTACTTTAACTCCAACATTTTCATCAAATAATTTTTTACTATTTTCACCAGGGGTTTCCTTTAAACCTTCACTAGTTTCTTTAGTAGCTGATACTTGGCCAAGTTTTACTAAGACAGAAAATTTCTCATCACTTGATGCTTGAGGGGTTGTCTCTAAAATAGGAACAATGGATAAACTTTCAGGATGATGAACATTATCAGCTTGGTCACTTGATTCAGTTGGTTCTTTAGAATCTATTACTTGCTCGCTTTCTTTTAGAGCTAATGTTTCAGAAACATCTTGTGAAGATAACAGCACATCAGATTTCTGTATTACAATTTCTGCTCCTTTTAAGTCACTTGACAGTATTTCTTTGCTTTTTTCTATTTCTTCTTGTTCTGGTTCATGTTTATCAGTAGGTTCCACAGAAGCCTCACAAATGTCTTCACTTATTTCCTGCTCTTTGACTAATTCTTCCACACTTTTGTATTTTTCCTCACTAGTTTGTGAAGTTTCTACTTTTGGTAAAACACCCTTTTCAACAGCTTGGCTTGCAGTATCTTCTTCTTCATTCTTATATGTGTAGCAACAAAAAACATAAAATCAATTCAAAACTACAATACAAATACTTGATTTATATAAAAAAAGCATGTTTATTACATAAATATACATCACTTTAAATATTATTACTATTTACATATAAGTGATGTATAAAGTTTAAACAAAATGTTTTTGAGGACTAGTATATGCCAGAAGCTTTTAAATCAAGACTGATTTGTTGAAACAAAAATCCAAAAACTCTTTCAATGAAGACCTACACATACACTTTACAAAATGTCATCCACCTTCTGAATTAAAGTAGGTTTATTTGTTTGGTATATTTGCACAAAGCTACAAAAGAAAAGACATCTGTGCTAGTTGTCTTTAAAAATTTTGAACTTACAGACATGTTGAAAAGCAACTAGTCAAAAGCACCCATCACCATGCACTAACTCTTAAACTACTCTAATCAAACAGTGGGATTTGTACATTACTCTTACAACATACCCACATTCCATAAGTGCAGAGTGAGAGTTTCTTTATGAACATTTTCTTCTTGATACAAGACCTTCATGGACCCTCAGATCCACAACTTGGCTTGCTAACCATCAGGCTAAGCCCAGTTCAATTAAAGTAGGAGAAATTACTTAACAATATAAACATCTTTCTGGATAATCATACCAGAATATAAATTACAAAATTTCCAAAAAATATTTAAGTAAACTTAGATTTATCATACAAGTTTAAATCCATAGGATAAGATATTCAAGTGAGTAGAACAAAAATTAATAATCATGTAGTACTTTTGTTACTGAGACTTGATTTTGAAGCTTTCCTTATATAAAGTTCTTCCCCTATAAATTCAATCAGACTAACAGCAGCACCCAATCATCTGACAAAGTAACGTGCTAACCAACATTAATCAACCATGAAAGTTTTTATATAGTAATAAACATAATAGCAATGCATTTTGTTGAAAACGTACGATGCTAATACTCTATACCCAAAACTAAAAGAAAAAACAAACTTCAGAAGATTTTGAAGCTAATAATAATTTAAACCTTAAAATAGAGGTCAGCTTTCATAAAAAAACATTTATTGAAAGAAAAATAGATTAACCATACTTGAAATATTTTATAAAAAAATAGTGAAAAATAAAAAATACTCCACATGATAAGAAGAGTTTCCTTAAGAATACTTTAGTTTCAGAATGTATGATTATTGATAGCTTTACATGTCTTAAGTTCTCATATGAAATCTCTTACAAGTAGAGAAAGTATAATGAGCATATTATGAAACCTATCATTAGGAATGGGATAAATATTTGATTGAATCAGATATTGTACTATCTGACGAAATCCAATCAGATATTAATTTCACAATGTATCAGATAGTCAGGTAGCATTTCCATTAATAGTTCATCTGACAATATTATGCAGGCAAATACTTGTAGTGCATCACACATGATAGATATTGCATCATCTAGCCCATTGGTGCTTTCTACTAGCTTCCAAATATAATAGTGTTTTCCCTGATATTAAAGAGTGGGAGTACTGGTAGTCATGATACAGATAGTCATTATGTAGTTTAAATAAACATCATGTCCATCCATTGTCATCACTATATGACACATATGACAACAAACATAATCCAAACAATAGTATCAGCACTGTCTCATGCAGAACTATACATTCTTATCAAAGTTTAAAAACAATAATGAAGTAACTACTTTAATACTATACTATAGTGAAGTGTAGCTTATTTTCTGAAAATAAAAAAATCCAATCAAATATCAAGAGCCAGATATCTGAAGTCTGACCAAAACTACTATTTGTCACATCCCCACCTAACACTAATTTTGTTTTTAAATTTTTAACTGTTAATAATAATAATAACAATATTTTGAAATACTAGTTAAAATACTGCATTTAATGAAAAATTTTTGTTTCACCAGAGAAGCAAAAGTATTTTGAAGTATCTTTTTTTTACTGCACTGATAAGAAATAAATTAGTCTTCAGTCTTAAACTTCTGTTTATGTTTGTTGTTCTTACAAGAAACAGTTTGATTAATGTTTTCTTTATTTCAAAAAATGAATTTTAAAAGCTGCATTATGTGAAAACAATCCATGCTGTCCAACAAACAATATTAAAGAACATCAAAATAATCCTATCATCTACATGAAATACTTTTATCCTCTCTGAAACACAGTTAATCAATCAACTACAAACCAATCCTACATTCTACATGGCAAACTATTTATCCTTTCTAAACACATAATTAACTACTTAGTTAAAAATAAAACTAAAATTACCTATAATTACACTACATTATCTAAAAGTAGAAACAACATAAAAGAAATTTCAAAAATTACCTGTACTTCATCTTTGAGTGTTTCTTTCAAAGTATCAGGAACTGAAAAAGAAGATTCTTGATTCCTCTCAGAACTATTGCGTACCATTTTAAATATATATATATATCATGCATACTAAAAATATGTAGATCACATTTGGGTAGAACTAAAATTTTAAAATATTTTATTTAAAATACTTTAAATAAAATATTTTATTTAAAAGCTATACTGTGTGGGATGCAAGTAGTTGCATCATCCTTCTTATTTTGGTTTCAAAGACCTGTAATCAGCATACAAATAAATAAATCAATAATCTTTTAACATAACAATGTTTTGGGACAACATGGGACCTATTGGTCCATCTCAGCTGTTCCATCCTCTAAACTAAATTAAATTAACTTTAAAAAAATTTTACAGCCAGCCCTTATAATTCATATACTTATCAAGCTTTCTCTTAAACTCATTTAAATTTACTGCCTCTACAACATCCAAAGGCAACCCACTCCAAAGGGCAACCACCCTGTTAGCAAAATAAAACTGTCTTAGCTGAAGATGACTCCTACCTTCCCAAAGTTTATACTTGTGTCCCCGAGTCCTACTATTCTCACTATTAAATATGAAAAATGATGATGCATTAACACTACCAATTTCCTTACAATCTTAAACATCTCAATCGGATCTCTCCAACTCTTATTTTATCAAGAGAAAACAATTTGAGAGATTTCAGCCTCTCCTCGTATGACAACTCCTCCATCCCAGGCAACATTCTAGTACCATTTCTTTGAATCCTTTCCAACAATTCAATGTTTTTCCTTAGGTAAGAAGCCCAAGACTGAACACAATATTCCAAATATGGCCTAACCAGTGACTTGTACAATGAAATTATAACCTCTTTAGAGTTGTATTCAATATTTGCTACTCCCATATGCATCCACCCTGTGAGTGCAGTGTATAAGTGGTGGAATGCCGGAATGGGTAATGCAAATTTTCCTCTTATTGCAAATGATCTTTAAATTCGATGACGAGGAACCCACTTTGAGACTAATAATGGTTGGAGACGGCTTGAATGGGTAATGAAGCAAAACTTTAATATAAGTTTAACATAACAGCAAATGTACAACGTTTCGACCAGGTTTTGTCATAATCAGGTACAAGTAAGTTACACTGACACTGATATATTGAACAAAACAACCTTACTCTAAACCAACATCCCGGGGTGCCAAGATACCTCTTCTAAGTTTTGCAACA